TATTTTTTTATTTCTAACTAAAATTGAAAATAAATAAATAAATAAAAATATTATGTAGTCTTTTAAATAGGTTTGTAGGCGAGACCAAACCTTTTAAAAAAACCTGCTCAGGCTTTAAAAAAAAAAAAAAAATTCAAACTTACAGACCAGATATTTTAAAAATATGTCAAACTAAGTCTGGCCTGGTCTGACCTATTTCCACTGGAGGCCCCTACTCAATAAGAATAAATAAATAAATAAGTAAAAACAATAAAAATAACACAGCATAAAAGTGTCTCATGTTTCCTGGTCATTGCCATAAAATGTGACCACAGCAAGTTCAGAATTAAGGATGTGTTTACGTTACCATATTTAAATTTATATCTAATCTCTTCATAATAAATAGTTTTATTTATTTAAAATTTTATTATTCATATTTTAATAAACATTAATTAATTTTTCGCTATTTTTATTTATTTATTTTATCATATTTGATCAATTCTATAAAACTTATTATTTTGATGAATAATAAAGTTTTGAAAAAAACTCATTGACGAACACACTCTAATTATATACTCCCTTCTCGTATCTATCTATCCGTTTTATTTTTGCAGGAGTTTTAAAAATATTAGTATTATATGTATTTAAATTAAATAAGAATTTATTTGATTGTTTATTAAAATTGATTTGAAATAAAATGTATTTGATTTTAATTATTTTTTAAATAGTATTTTGATATGATATATTTTTTAAAATAAATAGTAAATGTTTATAAAAAATTATATAAAATAATTAGTGTTATTTTAGCTTAAAATTACAAGAGAACAAACTCTAAATATTTATAAAACTATATCATCATACTCAAGAATCAGTGCTGGTAATTCCGGTACAATTTTCTGAAATTTTCCAAAGAAAGAGATGAAAAAAACAAAGCAATCCAAATTTCAGCAAGCAAAGCTCATCTGAATGTTGTAATCTTCATGGCTGTTCAAGGATTAGAGATTGCTACCAAATCACCAGTTCTATGATAAATTCCAACATAATGAATCAGATAAAGCAACACAACCAAATAAGAACGAAGCAAAAGATCAAGCAAATGCTGCAATCCATATGTCCGTACTAAAACAGCATCTCATGTCAAAAATCCCCAGTTGACGATGGAAGAAGATAAGAAGAACATCCAGCAAATCGACCTAAATATGCACTCAATGGATGAAAATGGAGATAAGCGTAATCTTAACACTAACAATCCACCCAAATTCCAACAGAAAGCAATAAACACAACCATAATAAAAACAAAAAATCTACAGAATTACAGAATCGAGGAGGTGTAAACAGTAAACAGCACTTCGTTATCCGCTTCGACGAGAAATCCCAAGCATTAATCGAATACCTTGAGATACGCATACAGACTACAGAGTGGGGCAAGCAATGCACGCGACGCGAGGAGATGGCGCCGCTTTACACAGAACACCGACTTCCGAGGCGACGGTTTCCGCCGTGCGCCGATCGTACCAGAACTGGCAGTCCTCCGACAGCAACGTCACCTCCTCCTCATCTTCCGCCGCTTTAACCTCCCGGTCCTGTTCTTCAAGGAACTCCTTGAGCGCCGCCAGAGCCTGAGAACTCAGCACCGGAAAATCATCATCACCGCCGCCCTCTGATGCGCCATTGTCAACTCCGCCGCCGTCGTCGCTCGTTGGAATCTCGAAGTCGGTATCAGTAGCTGAAGTCATCTTCTAGAATGTGGGTTAGCTGCCGTCCCCGACCGGGCTATATAAACCCGCCCCGACCGTGGGTGTCGAACCGGACCCGATGGGCTGAACCGGTTATGCGTACATCATTTCACTGTAAGAAAACAAATTTTTCCGTGACTAAATCTATTTTTTTTTTTTTTTGTTAGTAACTATATTAGTGACTATTAGAGATTGGTTGCGTTAGATATGTGAATTTTAGAGACGAAATTTCGATTACAAATAATTTTTTTTTTATAATATTTATATTAATATTAACAAATATAACACAAAATTAAGAGCATATGCCAAAATTTTCACTAATTAAAAATTTAATGGTAAATAATCAATATTTTATATGTAAAATTCAAGCTTGTGATTTGAAGTATATATAATTATATTTACTTTAGCAAAATAATTATTTTTTATATCCTTTAATAAAATGTAATGAAAATATTTCTCTTTATTTAAATATAATTAACGTCATTATAATTGTCATTTTCTTAAATATTCGGCACCAATGTACATTCTTGAAGTTATAAATTGTGTTAAATTTATTTCTCAAGCATAACACTAATTGTGTCTAAAAATATACTGTAATTACATTTTTTTTTTAATTACTTTTATATTATTAATTATACTGTCAATTATAGTACTCTCTCCGTCTTGAAAGGTTGTTATTTTCAATTTTTGTCCGTCTCAAAAAGTTATCATTTTCTAATTTAGTAATTGTAATATTTACCTAATATAATAAATACCCTTCTAACTTATACTATATTACACAAATGTCATTATTTTTATATTACACAATACTAATAGAGGCATTTTCGTCTTTTTCACTACAATTTATTATAATACTAATATTTAAAAATTTACAGAGAGGAGAGTATATTCTTTTAAAAAAATATATCATATTTAATATTTTATATTTAATATTTATTTTATTTAAAACACTCTCATTTAAATATCCTTATATATTTATTTATATGCCAAAGGGCCCAAACTGGCCCAGTGAATAATTCTCTATTGTTTCAACCATAGCCTTCAAAAGCCCGTAAAATTCAAAGCCATTAAACTATTAATAGATACGTTTGATTGTGGTTTCATAACATTCATTTATTTACAAAATATTTAAAATTAATAAAAATAAAAAAATTTATAATTTTTTTATAATTTCCAATAGTCAATTATAAAAGTTCAAAAAATTTCAAAATATTTGGTGTGTTTGTTCGAAGGATTTGCAAAGATTTATACTTCCTCCGTCCCAAATACCCTACAATATTTCTTTTTTGGTATGTCTCAAACACCCTTATACTTAATCTCTACCTCACACTTTATCCTCTCACATCATCCAAATAAAAAAATAAAATATATATTTCTCTCTCCATCACATCACTTAATTTCTAAATTATCTTACTTAATAGTAACCATCTAAAAATTCGTGCCAAAAGTAAATGTTGCACCTTGTTTGGGACGGAGGGAGTATTATTCATACAAAATTTTTTCCCCAAAAAATATTAAATCAAACATTTATTTTTTATTTTTTATACTTCATCTGTCTCAATACAATAATCTTATTTACTATTTTTGTCCTTCCCAAAACAATAGTTTCATTTTCATAAATAATCATATTACTATAAAACTACCTTTACTTTTTATTATTACATAATTGTCACTATTTTTTTACACTAATACACTCACAATGACAAAAAAGTCTTTTACCTGTATTTTTTATCTACTATCAATATAATATCAATATTTCTTAAATCTCGTGTCAAATCCAACTGAGACTATAATTCTGAAACGAAGTGAGTATTATAGTAAAAAATCAATTTTACATTCAAAATATTACATCAATACTTATTTGTATCACACCGTGCCAATATTTTAATTCAAATTTGTTACTGTTCAAATCCCAACACAAAATATGCTACCGTGTAGTGTTGTTTCCTTCCGTGCATAGAATGTTTGTACGGCATGCCTAAAAATGTGTACACTAGTAGAAACATTGATTAGTCGCAAGCCAGATTTGAATTAGTAGTGTAAATTGCTGCGAGACGCTCCCCTGGGCAGCGGTGAGATCCACGCGCTTGACCAAAATCGGACTTCGTGAGACCTACGCTTTTCCATTTTCCAAAGCACGCGTTTAACTGTTTTTTCAGTTCCCATGGCGTCTTTTCCGATCTCTGTGCAATAAACATAAGTCGTGTTTCTGGAAGACACGCCTTAAATAACTGCCATCAATAGTTTTCTTTTATTAAAGGAAAAATGTTTTTTAGTATAGTAACCAATCCTTATTATTTTAATACCTTAATTAAAATTGATATGGAAATCATTTTATAATGTAAATTTTTTTTTACACAATTAATTTTTTGGTATTGAAAATACGCACGTAAGAAATACATATGTCCGCCAAAAAAACATCATTCAATCCTGCAATCATTTTTTATTACTTTTATATTTAACCTTGCGAATTTTCACACATGTGAACCAATTGTACTAAAAAAAAAAAAAAAAAGTTTATTTACAAAATAATTTTTTATATTACTCCAATTACAGAACTATATTAATAATTAGTCAATTACGAAGTTAAAAAAAATTATTATTATTTTTATTTTTTATAACATGAGAATACACAGCCAATTTGGTAAATCCTGGTAAATTTAATAACCTAGTCACTCTAGATTAACTATATGTGGCAGATAAGATCGTACGGGTAAAAACATAACTTTTCCTTTACTAAATTAATGTGTTAGTTTAAAACTTTAAAGTTACGTTTTTATTTTATTTTATTTTATCATAAATTTTTATTTATTTATTTTTTTATATTATATTAAATAATTATTTTTTATATTATATTACAAATTTGTTTTATATTTCAAAATATCATATCAATTTTTATTTATATCACATCAAGTAATTATTTAAATTTAATTTTTTTTATTAAAAAATTCAAAAAAAAACTAATAAAAAAAACAGATCCTAGAGGGGTAGCAAGTGTTTTGAATCTATTTAATTAAATAATTTTTTAGTATGATTTTTAATATGCATAACTATTAAAAAATAATTAATTAAAATTTAAAAAATAATATAAAATGTGAAATATAAAAAACAACAACATGAATACAAAATGTGAGAAGAAACTTACAAATAAATCAATAAAGAGAGCCTATAAATTATTATCATTAACGGTAAAAGTTTGTAAGACTAGATGGATAACTCCACTCGCGGAACACTGGCGCGTGTAATTGACTTGCCCAATTTGCCAATATCAAAAATGAAAAACGAAAAATCGCTAGAAATGGCCGACGGCTGACATTTTCTTCAGCGTAGACGAAGACGAAGTCATTCAAGGATCAACATTTGCTCTCCCAAATAACACGCACACGACGAATTAATTGGTGTTCTACGGCCCTCGATTCAGTTCACTGCAACCTCCATTGATCGATCATAAATAAATAAGTTATAATTTACTGTATCCATTCGATTCTACTAATTATTCTGTAGATTTACTTCATCCAGTCAGTGTGCGAGCACACGCGGAGGCGCTGATTGGCTCGGCGGTTGGGAGGATTCCTAGATCTCGAAGGAATAGTAGACACGGATAGATCCTTTGCTCTTCGAATTTGAATTCCGGCGATCAATCAGGTGATTGTTGATTAATTTTGTTTAAGTTGAAGTGATGATAGTGGTCGGTGAAGTGTGTGGAGTTGTTAATTTAGTTGATTTTGTGAATTTTTTGGTCGGAGTGGGAGTAAGGGTTTCGTCAATGGTTTTGGTTGAGCTTCGTATGAGACTAACATTTAGTGTAATTTTGGTACTCTAGATTGGGGGATGAGCTTGTGGTGCCATGGATTGGGGATTTTTGGTTGTTATGTTTTCAAATTCGACATTGATGGAGGGTTTTAGGTTATTTTGTTACGGTTTGGGGTTGAGAAATTTGAATTTTTCAATATTGTTGCTATGTATTTGTTATTCGATTTCTGATAACCTCATTTGGTTGTTTTTTTTTTTATTTAAAATCATTAGTTTTTTTGAAGCATCTTTAAGCTTTGTCTCCTTTCATGTACTTTTTGTAATGGCTGTTTACTCTGTTTTGAATGTTGGATTATTTGTATTATTTTATAATGGAAAAATGGTTTTCGATGTTATGTTTTTAATGGAAAATAGGTGTTGGGGCTATGTTTAATAGGGAGAAAATGTATTTAGCGTAATGCATAATGCGAAACAAGATCGAAAAACACAAACAAATACACTGTAGGGTTTGTTTGTATTTTTGGTACCATTTTGACATTATGCAATCTACAATGCAATTTAAATTAAAATATCTCATTTTTAGAACCTAAATGCAAGATAAAAAATTATATCAAGAAATATATGTTTGCTTTCAAATGTAAAACCTGGAACCACACCCTTAATCTTCTGCTTTATTCGGATTGAAATTTTCTGTGGACGATTTTCTTACGGCCTCTGGTGACTTCAACTTTAATATAATATATGTATGTATATAAGATCGAAAACACAAAAAAATACACCCTAATTTGTATTTTCATTACTCTTTTGACATTATGCAATCTACAATGCAATTTAAATTGAAATATATATTTGCTCTAAAATATCATTTCCAAAACCTAAACGTGCAACAAAAATTACATCGAAGACATTATTGCTTTCAAATGTAAGACATCAAACCACACCCATAATCTTTTGCTTTATTATGATTGGAATTTTCTGAGAACGATTATTTTACAGCCTCTAGTGACTTCAACGTATGACAATATATGCATGTATATATATATTCTTTATCCATAGGTTGGGATTTTTGTACATCACAATAGCAAGTTCGGCTGTTGTAATGTTTTGTCTACAAATCGAAGGTCTTGATGTTCCTTTTAACCTTTATTTTTATTTTTTTTTATCATCATTGCCTTTCGTATTCTGTGCTTATTGCATTACTTGTCTACTATTTTTCATGTACTTATACATTGAAGTTTTTAACACTATAATTTGCAGAGCTATATGTTAATTATGCACATATATATATATATATATATTCGTGCAGGTTTGGTTAGTGCATCAAATATTTATCATTTTCTTCAGGCAGACAGGGTAGGGTAGTGTTTGTTGGTTTTTGCGATCTGTGAAGAAAATAAAAAGTGCTCGTGAGAGGATACCTGCGAAGCATCATGTCTAGATGAAGTCAGATCTGTTTGGTTGTACAGAAATGAAAGACACGCAAATATTTCCAGCACCTCGTCAGCGTTTAAAGAAGCCGAGATGGATCATTATATTGGTTTCTTTGGTTAGCTTGTTCTTGGTCTGTGCTTATGTGTATCCGCCTCGAAATTCTGCAGCATGTACTCTTTTCTCAGCTCACAGTTGCAAGGCTTATCAAAGTTGGATTCCTCCCGAGCCTGCTAGAGTACTAACTGATGCTGAACTCGCTTCCCGAGTTGTAATAAGAGATATTTTGGATATGTCTCCTACTATTTCGACTACTACCAAAATTGCATTCCTGTTTCTGACACCAGGTGCATTACCATTCGAGATGCTTTGGGATAAATTTTTTCAGGTAGCTTTTTTCTTTAAATGCTGAAATTTTTATTAGAATTTAGTTGATCTTGTTTGCGGCTTCTGCAAATTAGATAATGACTTAATTTATCATAGTATATAGAAGCCATTTTTTCTCTTCAGCTTTTGTTTGGAGCCTTATTTAATTCGATATATATTTTATTTTTATTAAAAATGACTTGATGAATTCAGTGCAATACCGTGCTATTGTTAGTTGAAGTACTGCATCATAATTTGCTTCTTGTAATTATGTTTTGAAGTTGTTCTATTTGATTTCATCGGTTCTCAAAATTTCTCTCTCAGGGTCATGAAGGTAAATTCTCTGTGTATGTGCATGCATCCAAGGATAAACCTGTGCATTTCAGCCGTTATTTCCTCGATCGGGAGATTCGTAGCCAGAAGGTTTGTCCTTCATTTTATTGCTCATTCTTGTTCGTTGCTTATGAAATCATATATTTATGACTTAAAGCCTTTTTCTGAGAAATATTTTGGTTTGTAGACTGAATTAGTCCTTTCCGAATTATTATTTACACGAATTTCACTTATAAATGGTCTTTGTTTTCTTTATGCCTAAGCACTATTTACCCTCTTCGATATTTAATTTGTTCATATATATATATGCAACTATGCATTGAGCTTGATCGACTCTGTTGAACTGTAGTGATTTTTTAGATTTACTAAAATTTCATTGGTTAAATCGAATGTTCGATTAACAGTTCTTAACTGTAGGTAGTGTGGGGAAGAATCTCGATGGTAGATGCAGAAAAGCGGCTATTGGCAAATGCACTTCTCGACCCGGACAACCAGCACTTTGTTCTTCTTTCGGACAGGTTGCTGTTAATATAGACTTTCAAGCTTTCGATTTTTCATCAATATCTGGAACTCATGCTAATTGATTTTTTTTTCTTTTTCTTCGGAATATACAGCTGTATACCACTTCGTCGCTTCGACTATGTGTACAACTATCTCTTGTACACAAATATTAGCTTTGTCGATAGGTAAGCTCTCTTAACTTCTGCCATTTTTCACTCCATTTCTGCCGTATTTTCCTTTTCTTTTTCGGGTTTTAAATCTCACAGACATTTATTTAAGACGAACTGTGTTGTTTGTTTTGCTTCCCTTTTCAGTTTCGAGGATCCCGGTCCACATGGAAGCGGCAGATACATCGAGTATATGTTACCCGAAGTTGAGAAAAAAGACTTCCGAAAGGGTGCTCAGGTCCGTAATTATAATTCTAAATGGTTCCCAAAATAAAATAAATTTTATATATCCGTTCGTGATCTAGAAACTACGTGAGGTTCTTTTGCATTCTAGAATATATTGCACAGATTACCTTTAAAAGGAGACTTCATTGCAATATTCTCAAGAAAAGAAGCATTTTTGCCGAAAATAAAATATCTTGTTGCGACTTGGAATAAATCGATCAATACAGAAATTCATTGATCTTTGATTCGCTTAGCCCTAACGTCATTTTGGCGAAATGCAGTGGTTCACGATGAAGCGGCAGCATGCAATTATAATCATGGCTGATAGCCTCTACTACCGAAAGTTCCGTGACTATTGCAGAGTAAGCCCATGTTTCCAATACAAATTTATTCGTCTATTAAATGCGCGTAACAACTCATGTCGTCGTGAAATTCATTTCTTTCAATTCTTTCAATCGAACAGCCAGGCATGGAGAAGGGACGGAACTGCTATTCTGACGAACACTATCTTCCCACATTTTTCCACGTGAGAATTCTTCCCCCGATTTTCTGCAATTCTCATTCGATAATCTGCTCCCGCTTATTATTGTTCCATTTTCAGATGCTCGATCCGTCGGGAATGGCCAACTGGTCAGTGACGCACGTCGACTGGTCTGAAGGAAAATGGCATCCGAAATCGTACAGAGCGCGGGACATATCGCTCGACCTAATTAGAAACATTTCGGTCAGTACATGTGCTCCCATCTTGCATTTTCACTTTCGATTATATAGTTAGAATCCCAGATCGTAGTCATTATTACATCATATTATTACGTCTAAATCTGGTCTCTAGAAATGTTAAACGAATCGAGTAGCTCGTGAACCAAATTTGATTCGACTCGTTAACAGTTCAAGCTCGACTTGTTTATATAAATAAATAAGATGAGGTTGAGCTCGAGCTCGAGAATGATTACTTCTATAAACGAGCCGATTGAGTTAGTGATAATAAATTTTTATTATTTTATATTAAAGTTTATTTTTATTAATGAAACTTAAATTTTTTATTACAATAGAATATTTAAAAATTAGTTATTTTTAATTTATAGTTACAATATATAATTCATTCTGTCCTCCAAATTTCATAAGCTAAATCTGTTACATTCTTTCCTTTTATTATTTTTTTTAAAAATACTTTCAATTATTTTTTTTATTTTTATCAATTTTTGAATCAAATATTTGTTTTTTTTTTTTTAATTTTCGTATTAGACGCAAATGTTCTAATTTTATCAGATTTAAAATTTGAGTTAAACTCGACCTCGAGCTATTATTTTAGCTCGAATTCTAAACGAGTCGAGTTGAGCCTATACTTACAGTATTTTCCAGTCGAACTTGAACTCGTTTGTTTTGTTTAATAGCTCTACTTATCCTGAATCTACAAAATTGATTTCCTTTCGACTATCGTTGCAGTCTATCACGGAGAGTGTCCACGTCACGAGCAGCGCTCGGGTTAGTATTGTTTTTCCGCACGTTTTTGCTAATACTACTATGGCTACTTATCTATCTCTACACTCGATGATAATCGAAAATTATTTTACAGAAAGAAGTTCAGATAAGACCGTGTCTGTGGAACGGCGTCGAGCGACCTTGCTACTTGTTTGCGAGGAAATTTTTGCCGGAGACGCTCGACGTTTTACTGCAACTTTATCCGAATTACACATCCATTTGAGCCCCGAGGATCGATCGTTTCGGCTTCCCTGCTCGTGTCCCGATTTCGGACTAAGATGAAGCCGAATGCTCGACCCAACCCTGACCCGAACCCGCTGCGCGGTAAATTATTTTCGAATTTTAGTTATTTTTGGTGGGTGGGTTGAGTTGAGGTATTATTTATAAGGGCAGCCTTTAGCCCTTTGCCATTTTATGAAACGTTTTTTTTATTTTTATTTTTTGGCTTTTGTACAAATTTGGAGTGTAAATGATATGATCAGCTTAATATATATATATATATATATATAGAGAGACATATATAGATAGGCACTACGGTTTTTGTTTGGTCTTTGGGGTTGTGTTATTTTTAAGGCCTAAACCTTTGTCTCTCTTACTATTTGTAGAAAATTTTCTCTAAAATCATAAGATTAAATTTTTATTTTTTATTTAATTTATTATTAAATATGAATTTTTATGGTATTAAATGTCTGTTTATATAAAAAAAATATATTATTTTTTTTTTTTTTACTAATTTTAAACTTTAAACTTAAATAAAAGTATATTAATATGATTGTGACCAAAAGTGGTGTAGTAAATGTCTGATTAACCTTAACCATATGAGTTGATCAGCGACCACATGAGTCGTGTTTTTACCTCCTCCTGCTTTCATTTTACATTGGTTTTTTTGCTATTATCAATATTGCTTTTTTAATGATTAAAAAAAATATATATTTATCCAATAGATCTAGTTCGTTAAGCTGATAGTCTAGTATGATTTATTTTGTTAGCTTATTTTACAAGTTATTAGTTTTACTCGGGATTTACCTAAAATATATTCAAATAGATAGTAATGACAGTTGATTTTTATATTATTAAAAAAAAAAAAAAACATGATGAAGAAATGACATGGAAAAAAAAAATAACATTTGATTTTTACATCATTAAAAAAAGTTAAAAAAAAAAAAAAAGACGTAGAATATCATATCATAACTAACTACCACTTGTTCTTTTCCATCCCCTAATGTCATAACAAGCCACTAGCCGTTTCGTCCTTTTCAATATAATGTTTGATGTTATTATTATTATTAAGAAGAAAAAGACCGTCATATGTTTGGTGAGAGCTACCTACTTCCATAACTACATACATAAATACGAACACATAAATCCAAATCCATTACATTAATCCGATACTATGGCTGCCTACATATACATTTTCCAAATTTTAACAATTTTTTCTTCAAAAAAATCATTTTATATTTATTTTTTACAAAATATCATATCAAATCTTTTAACTTTTTTTTTTTTAATTATTTTGATAATATTTAAAAACTCCAAAACACCTATTTTGAGGTTTAAAAGAATATTATTAATAATAATAAGTTAGTATTTACTATGTTATTTTATGAAATAAAAATATATTTAATATGATATTTGTTAAATATTAAATAATATCGAGTTTCCAAAAAAATTATATAAATAAATTAGAAATTTAAATTTTTTAAAAACAAAAAAAAAAGTATTTAATATGTATTTTCTTTAAAATATATATTTAATGTAATATATATTTCATTTATCACCAAAATTTATAATCAATTTTTCTTTTGTTTCATAAATTTAAGTAAAAGATACCATATTTTCTATTTTTTACTATAACAAGATCTTTTTTTTAATCCATATTTTAAAAAATTCACGTCCATATCCGATCAAATAAACATAAATTTCAATAAATTATTTTTATAAATAATAACAGAACCTTTAGACTCCATATAAACAGATCCCCTATATAAATTCAGAGCAACTAAAAAAATAGATAAAAAAAATCATGGGGTGCAAATTTTCTTGCAGAAGATCATCATCATATTTTTCATGGAAACAGATAAGAAGAGCCAAGAATGTGATATGGCTAGTGCATTTAGATGGTCATATCAAGGAGTTGGAGATAGCAATAAACTCACCGCCTGTGACGGTTTCTCAGGTCACAGCCCTTCACCATCTCCTCTTCACTCAATCTCACCTCCACCTGCTGGCGGCCGCGGCCGCTGCGCCGCCGCTCAGCTCCGATCACCTCCTCGAGCCCGGTCAGGATTATTTCCTGCTCCCGTTTTCCCTCTTCGAGACTAACGTTTTGCCATCGGACTTGGTGCCCGTAGCCCGGAAGCTCGTGTCCGTTTCTCGAAAATTAAGGAAAAATGGATCGATTGGAGAGAGATGTAATAGCCCGGACCCGGAATCTCAAGTTTTAAGACATGCATGTGGAAAACAACGGCCTTGCTCGTCGTCGTGGAAGCCTATTCTAACGACAATCCAAGAAACGTCGCTCAGCCGGAGAATCGGGCCGGATATGATCGAAAAGGTCGAGGTTTAGACATGTTAGAAAGTTCTTTTGTAGGTTGTCATGGTCTAAATCAAAAAAAACAACCCGTCCGTAGAATTCGATCCAATAACCTTATGGTGCCATCATACCATATCATCACAGGCACTTTTTACAAGGCATACTATCTTGTAATGTTTGTTACAAATTCAATCAAGACGATACGAGTCACGGAAGTCACACTACCCTAGCCAAACCAAGTGCAACAAATTTGACTAAAAAAATATCAGTCGGTAGAATTTTAAATAGTAACTTTATGGTTACCGACTATCATACCATACCAACTCAACCACTCCTTAGAGGGCATACTATCTTGTAATATATATTACAAGTTCAATCAAAACGATACCAGTCAGGTAAGTCACACTAGCTAGAGCAATTGTGACAAATTTGACCAAAAAACCATCGGTCGGTAGAATTCAAATCAATAACTTTACGGTTATCAAGCCATCATACCGTACCAACTCAATCACTCCTTAAACAGGCATACTATCTTGTAATATTTATTATAAGTTTATTCAAGACGATACCAGTCAGGTAAATCACACTAGTCAAACCAAGTGTGACAAATTTGACCAAAAAAATATCGGTAGGTAAAAGAATCAGTAACCTTACGGTTACCGAGCCATCATACCATACCAACTCAGCCACCCCTTACAGCGCGTACCGTCTTGTAATATTTATTACGAGTTCGTGTATGTGTGTTGTGAATTGATTACCTTAAAACACCTCAACATCATGTATCCTCACATAAATATACACAAAGAACAAGAACAAGAATGCTTACAGATGTAGAATGATGCAATAAACTTACCGTCTTTTCGATCAATGATCTTCACCGGTCGGGCGCGCGAATGGGCGCCGGAGGAACGGCATTGTTCTTCGGCGAGCAGTCCCACCCGGTTTCCGCGCTTCGGGACACCATAAAGTGCTTCGGAGCCCATTCTTGCCTGCTCGACGATCTTTCCACAGCCATCTGCCTCTGCCATTCCTCGACCCGACTCTTGGCTTCCCGGGCTTTGTCCCACGCTTTTTGCAGTATCGCCTCGCTCACTTTGCCCCACACGACCGTCGACTCGTTCGACGAAATCGCCTGCATATAATATTTCGGTAAGATACTGTTAAGATAGAAATTCAGAGTTCCAACTTAAAACCAATTGGTTGTAAGTAGAGTAGGGGAATCCCAACATATCCAATGTGGATACTCAATGATAATCTCGAAAATCCATACAGGATCAATACCCAATACGGACACCATGGCTCTAATACCATGTTAAGACAGGGATTTGGAGTTCCAACTTAGAACCTCAATTGGTTGTAAGCGGAGTAGCCCTCGCCCCTTATAAGGTAGGGGAATCCCAACAGATACATTAGTGGCGCGCTCGATCTCCACCGTCGGATCAGTAGCTAGGTCGATCGATTGTGTACCTTTGGATCGTCGACTACCGGAGCTTTTAGCCCCGCCAGAGCTTCCTTTGCGTTGTAGATGATCGATGTCTCTCCCGTCGCAACGCTCTTTACTGCGACAGTCCTATTGTATTTGCGAAAAATGATGTAGACTTTATTAGGACAGGCGAAAAAAAAAGACGGCCGAGGATGTAGTAGTAGTAGTCGGGCGCGTTACCTGTCCCAATGGCCGTTGATTTCGCACAGAGCCTCGGATGTTGACGAGAGGAAGATCGTGCCTTTGATCGATCGGTGCATCGACGGGCGCGGGAAGAATGAGTTCCCTCGGTAGGAGAGATCGGCTTCGAGGCCGGTTTCTTGGCAATGGACTCGCACGTTCCCCATCCATTCGACGCGGGGGATCGGGAAGAGTCTGATGACGAGCTTGGGGGAGTTCATCGTGTACGTTTCGTTCTGGTCGAGGAGCTTTAATTGCCGGCTGCCGTGCACCTCCGTTTCAATGTGGGTGCCTGTAACGGTTGCGTTGATGGATCAAGTAAGCGAGACATATCTTAGGGGTCGGAAAATATATCGAAATACCGCAGATATGGTACCGAAAATATCGAATTTTCAGTATACAGTAAATTCCGGTATGGTAACGGTATGCATTTTCGATTTTTTTAATATTTTCCGTATATACTGAAATACCGAAAAAAATTTCAATATTTCCTTATATAACTAAATACTGAAATTATTATTTTTTCTATATTTATTATATGGTGATATATTCTTAACAATTTTAAATAGTAAAAAAATAATACTAATTCGGTATTTATGTATTTTGGTATAATGCAGTGTATACCGACATTGTTTAAGTTTTGATATAATACAGTATAAATCGATAATGTTTAAATTTCTGTATAAATCGATATATACTGATAACATACGGATAGTTCGGCATACCGTATCGAACCAGCCCTAGACTATCTCATTGTCTGAAAATCGAGGATAGCGATACGTATGTATGAATAATGAATGTACCGTAAAACTTCGGCAAGGGGGAGTGACACCAGAGCATTTCGATGTTGTGTTTCTTATCCGTCGCTTGGAGCGCCGTCACCGGCGGATGATGCGAAACCTGCGAGGCGCCAAGGAAGACACATTGTGTGAAATAGATTTAATAAGAAGACAGAGCGTGTCGTGATAACGATGTTTTTTTTTTTTTTTACCTGTTCGAGAAGGACATTAAGCGTGCCGCGAGAGACATGATGAGTCTCGCCGAGGACGGGGTTGTAAGGGGCCAAGCCGAAGGCAAGGGGGCGAACGGTGGAGATGCTCCACGCGACAACGGATATGAATCGGGCGAGGGGCGTTTCCTCATGGGAGCATTTGGACAACACGTCCGTGTTGACGGAGTATACCGATTCGCCGTAGCATTGGAGCTGGGACTTCGGGATGTTGAACAATGGAGGAAGCTGCAGTAGTTACGGTGCTGAATTATAAAATTCAATACAATGCTAACAATAACAAATCGGTGACTACTATATATTTCCTCTGTCTCAACTATAAAAGGGTCTCAAATATATTGGAATATTTCTAAAATAGAAAATAACTAAATTTATTTAATTTTCACTCTACACTTCATCTCATAATCACTCAAATAAATATACATTTTTTTTTTCTCTATCATATCACATAATTCTCAAATTATCATATTTAATACTATTCATTTGGGCTCAACACGTTAATTAAGGAAAATGAATATTTTATTAAAAAAATAAAAATAAATAAAAAGATAGTTGAAGGTATTTTTAAAATTTTAGTCAGTAATTAAAAAGAATAAAGAGAGACAATGTATAAAATTAATGGTATTTGTTATAAATAAGTATTGAATTAAGGATAATAATTAAATTTTGATTTTTTTACTTTTTCAAATATAGTAATAGAATAAAAATATATATTGATCGTATTCAATTAATATGAAAATATTGACTTGGTAAGGATTAATCGAATCCAACCAGACAAAATATTCATATAATCAACAATACAATCGACGTAATAACGACGACGACAACTCGAGAGGGCTCGAAACCCCCCGAGTTCCTATCTAAGCACATAACTACGATAATTGTCTAACATAGCACATATTATTATTGATTTCAACATAAGAAATATATTCATTATGTAAATAAATACGTGATTTCAGTTAACACATTATATATTATTGTAATAACATGACAAGCATTGATTGATCGAATACTTGCCTGGAGGCGAGTCAAGTCGGATCCAGTACGAGCATTGTTGAGAAGGCTAAGGACACGCTTGACAACGTTTGGAGCTCTGTAATTCGAATCCGAGGAGGAATCATCGGATTCGAGAGACAAAGGTGCAGTCAAGACAGGCTGTGTGTTCAAATTCAAGTTCCCTTCTGTTACCTGCACCTTATGAAGCATCATCACTACACCTGTCTCTATGCCATATACACTATATTACAAACATCTATTCTTATCATTCTCAATCTGTTGGTCTCAACCTTCCCCAGAAAATAGCACAAAATAATTATCTTCGACAATTGATCATAAAAATATAGTACTACATCCGTCCTATTGAAAGGTTGTCATTTTTTTCATTTTTGTCATTAAGTAATTGTACTACTTACCTAACGTAATAAATATTCTTCCAACTTACACTATATTACACAAATGTCATTATTTTTATATTATACAATACTAATTGAGCATTTTCGTCTTTTTCACTACAATCCATTATAATACTAATATTAAAAAATCTACCTGAAAAAAGTAAACGGCAACTTTGCATTACACCCGGACTGAGGGAGTACTAAAGTTTGAAGATATTGGAAAATTAATTAAAATTAGGTTGTGTTGTGTTTTTTGTGGGCTTTATCAGATATTTTTACTATTCAAATTTTTTTAAAACAAATATCACATCAAACCCTTTTTTTTTTTTTTATATTATACTACAAATTTATTTTATATTCAAAATATTATATGAATCTCTATTTATATCACATCAAACAACTATTCAAATTTAACTTTTCACTGTTCAAAAATTCAAACCCAAAAACTAAAATCCACAAACAAACAAACGTATCCAAGAAAGGAATTTAACACATTATTGTTCATCCAAGAAAGGAATTTAAGACATTATTGTTCTTCCACCTAACCCAATAACACGATATTTTAATACATACGTAATAACGAACAAAAGCTAGAAACATGTAAGTTGTTGGATCAATAATTAACAAAAACACATACATACAGTATATATATATTTCGCATAAAGTGATTTAGGTGTCAAAGAATCCGAATATGAAAAATAAAAAAAAATTAAATGAAAAGTATTTATAGCATGATATTCAAAATAAAATATATCCTATCCTCAGATACCCTTTTTCTAAGTGAAGTTATGCTGATTTCAATGTCAGTAGACAGTAGGTGGCTGCCGAAAGCATAGCCATAGAGATAAGAGGACAGTTGGGAAAATTGGTCACAATTAATATATGTATATTGGAGTACAATTTATTCAGCATAGTACTATCAGAATTTTAAATATTAATAGACAATAAATCAATGGTATAATATTTGTGCTAATATAATATAAACTGATAGTATACGTAATAATTCACGTAATTTCAATTACAAATTAGTATATCCTATAAATACGAATTATCAAGACATGATTTAGGGTGCATTTGACAATTAGTTGATAGATTTTAACCGTTAGCTGATTCAATTAACAATTTGTACTAAACATTAGTTGAAACTATATATTGTCTGTCTATTTTTTTTTATGTGTCAATCAGAGCAAGACATTTCTTTCTCTGAAAATGTCAGATGAAAAATTTATTTAGAAAAAATTGCTTATAATCCTTTTGTGGTTTATAAAGACGGGATTATATTTCTTGTAATTTAGAAATTGCGCAAAGCTTAAAAAAGATGTTGTACATAATCCTCTAAAAATTGCATAAAATTTCTTTATATTTTTTAAAACATTACATAAAATTTCCTAAAAAGAAGATTTTATACCATATTTTGAAAATACAATGCAATTTTTAAATCATAACACTTTTCAAAACCACAGGTAAATCATAATAATTTTGACTTTTATTTTTTTATATTAACTAAAAATTAATTTTTATATTTAAGATATTATATCAACTGGAGAAACGATACTTTCTATACGTAACCATAATCCCTATTATATATTTGTTTCCCTAAAGGATAAAAACAACGAATCTACTCTATAATACATAATGCAAAGAGAGGCAGTGTTTGTGGTAACTTGAATTATTTAATGACGTGAAATCTTATACTAATTTATAATAATTATAAAGATACTGTCTCATACAATGGCAGCAACGTTCAATGCTTCTTTAGAAATAATTAACAAATACCCGAAACAGAAATTACCATTTCGAAAAAATAATTCCAAGCAAGATTGTTTAAAAAAAAAAAAAAAAAAAAAAAAAAAAAAAAAAGAAAAAGAAAGAAAGAAAGAAAGAAGAAAGGAATTAAATTATACTGTTGATGATGTGAAACACCAAAAAGAAGTGGAAAATGGAGCAGATTCACACACGAAACGAAAGTCGGTTGGAAGTTCATTAAGCAAAAGCAACAAATTCGGAAAGCAAGAGCAGAAGAAGTATCATTAGCATCACAATTTAATTTTCAATTGCAAATTGCTAATCCAAATTGATTAATAGAAAGCAACAGTGTGTACGAAATTATTAATGTGGAAAGAGGATTGATTAGGTCGAAAAAGTTTTGCAAAACAACGCTAAGAAAAGGTTTGAAAAATTAAAATCAGGAATCATTATTATATGATGTAAAACGTATTGTTGAATTTATCCTAAATTATTTGAAAAGGGAGAAATTGTATTGAAGCCTCCAATGGCGGTTACAGAGAAGTAGAAATTACGCCTCTCGAAAATGACGACGTTTTCACAGCGGTAAAATAAAGGCAAAAGCTCCAACAGGAAAAGGTGCTGCTAAAATCTGCCGATTTCCTAAGGAAACAATTCTCCTTTAAAGTTTTCACCAAAAATTAATTCATCGCCTACCAACCTTCAATTTCCGTTCGTGTTCTTCAACAATGCATATACTATTGTAAATGCGAATTCCTAATTTCATCAAACAGATAATATTCCGCATTCAGGATTTCGATTCATCGAGCAGCTAGCTGTTCCGTCGCCGGAAAACCGCCGACACGGCAACAACGACGACGGAAACAAACAAATTCCGAAATCGAAACGTGATATACATCGCAAAATTAATTAAAACACGAAACCGAGATCGAATCGAATTCAGCTAGCACAAAACGTCGCACACAAATACATACATATATATATATATATTGATAAACGTAACGTAAATTGAGATGGAAAAGCGAAAGGACGCACCATTGATGCGATCTCAGCGGCACCAGAAGCAAACCTGCAGAGGAGAGAGAGAGACAAATGCAGAGAGAATCTATTGAAAGGGCCGTCGGGAATCGAAGAGCGGACATATTTATAGCCCACGCGCTAATTTAAGCCAGTGGACTAATTTCCTTTTTTAAATAAATAAGATAATGTTTTAGAAATAAATATTTTTATATAAAAAGAAACAACACATTATTTTTTTTTTCTTATTAACACTATTCTTTATAATCAATCATAAAAAATCAATAGTCCGAATAAAAATTGCCTCCATCACGTCAAACCAGTGTTACTTATATTATTTTATTTTTATATAAATTTTTAAATATTAATATTATATTAATTTACAATATAAATTTTAAATATTAGTATTATATTAGTTTACAGTAAAAAATACAAAAAATATTCTTATTAGATTGTGTGACATAAAATTTGTATAATATATTAAAAATGATAAGAGTATTAATTATATTAAGTATATATACAATTTCTAAATTATGAAATAAAATTTTATTTTGAGACTGAATAAAAATAAAAAATTGTACTTAAAACTATGGAGCATTATCTTTTATTATAAAGTAATTTACTAATTCTTCATGCCTAATATTTATCTAAAACAACACACTCAATATATATAACAGTACTGTTTTTTTTTTATATATAGAGAATATCAAATTAAAATATTATTCAAATTAAATATTGAATTAAATTTCAAATTCAAATCAAAATTAAACAAATTCTAACATTACCAATTTTATTTTTTATATTATACTAAAAATTAATTTTACGTTCAAAACATCACATCAATGCTTATTTATATCACATATAACTATTAAAATTCAAAATTTTTACTATTCAAATCTTAACTCAAAATCTAAAACCCCAAACAAACGAATCAAAAATGTATTACACAATTTATTTTTATATGAATTTTTTTTTTTTATGACGTGGGAACCACAGCCGCCATCATAATTAGTTTAATTATAGATTTGGTTGTTGTGTGAAAAATACAATATTTGATATTGTTTATTTTGTAAAATAATTTGAATAAATATTTTTTAATATAAAATATAAAAAATTGGATAGAAATTATAAAAATAATGATACAATGTATGATATATTAATAGTTTTTAGAATATATACTTTCTCTGTCCCAAAAGATTTGTCTTTGTTTTTTCATTTTCGTTTGTCCCAAAATAATTGTCTTGTTTCCTTATTTATTAGTTGTGTTCCCACTTTATAATAAAATCCTATTTTTTCATATTACCCCTAGTTATTACTCTAATATACTCTTTAAAACTCTTACAAAATTAAGGGCATTTTAATCATTTATATTCTACTTTATATCCACTTTAAATTAAATATCATTATTCCTTAATTCTCATGCTATCTCTCAATAATACACTTTTTTTGGGACGGAGTAAAATTGACGCCTAGCAAGTTCTGTTTGCACTTCCATAACTGTCGCCATCATCTACGTTAAGAATTTTTTAATCACGTTTTTTTTTTTTAATAAATATTATATTAAATAAATAATTTTTTTAATTATTTTTAAAAACTTTTTTATTTAAACGGTGCTAAAATTTAAAAGTTCTTTAGTAACAGCTTTTTTTTTATATGACTTAGAAATTCGCATCTACTATCGATCCAGGATTCGGCCGAAAGGGCCGTCCGTCCAGAGCTCAATCTAAATTAAGGCTCGTTATTTATTTATATTATATATACATTATTTATATATATAAGTTATTTGATATTAATTTTTTAATAGAAGAGCATCACTTCTTGGTGATTATGTTTTATCTACATTATTTTTTAAGTTTTGAGTTCAAATCTAAGTACCTTCAAAATTTAAAAATATTTTTTTATACCTTAAAAAGAATTAAATAAAGTTAATATTAATAGTATTATTGATAAAAAAATATTAGAAAATTTATTTTATTAATAGTATTATTGATAAAAATATTAAAAAATAAAATATTTTGTATATAAAAATATTAAAAAATTTATTTTATTTAATTATTTATATTTTATTATAGATCAAAAGATACATTATTTATACGTATTTAAGGGCCTTAATTTTTATTTTAAAATTCTTAATATAATACTATTATTGATATTTTATCTAAAAATTATTTTATTTAATAATTTATGTTCTATTACAGGTAAAAAAAAAGGTTGAGTAGATCGTATCTATATATTTAGGGATCTTTTATTTTTGTTTTAATTATTTTTTTTGACACTAAAAAATAATAAATATTAGACAAAATTGTTATTATTATTATTATTAAACAAAATTATTAATAACTACTTTATGATTTCGAAATTCTCTATATCCTTTAAAAAATAGAATGAACCTTCTTATACTTTAAAAAAATATTCTATGAAACCCATTTATATATATATATTTTTTATAATGAGAAAATAACTTTTTATCTATATTATTTTTTGCATGACAGAGATTTCATATAGCGTTTGTTAGAATATAAGGGAGTGTTACGCCATTTATAAAATATGTGAAAAATTTATGCTAAGTTTTAAAACTAAATTTATGCTAGAAAAAATATATTTTTATTTATATTTTATTATAGGTAAAAAATATTATGTATATATATATATGTAAGGGCCCCTGACTTTTATTTCGCCGAGAGCTCTTCGAAAGTCAGAAACGGCCCTGTACCGACCGGGTAAACCCTCGTTCGAACCTAATACCCTACAAATTAAGTCCGACAGACAAGTTTGCTTGTTTTTAATTTAATATTAGTATAACGGACAGGTAAAGAAGATATCAGCTTTATGTTTGTTTGGGGAATTTTTTATTTTTCTTTCCTATTCACTCAAAACATTCCTCGAAATACATCAAATCAAATACTTTTATATGTTATTATTTACATTCAAAATATCACACATATTTCCTCAACTCCCAAATTTCCGTTGCAATACAATCAATTTTCATACTGTCTGGGAAAAATATATGTTTTTTCCTTTCACAAAACTATCATAATTCCTCATTTTCCTACTAAACTTCTTATTTTTCATTTTAATTCATACAAATCAAAATTTCCTTTTCTTTTAAAAAAAACTCTCAATTAAATACCAAAATACCCTCAAAGGTAAAATAAATATCATTAGCATTACCTACCTAACATAATTAATATCCTTCAACTTTCAATATATTACACAAATGTCATTTTTGTCCTTTTTCACTATAAACCAATATTATAACGTTTTTCACTATAAACCAATATTATAACGTCACTCTTTTTTTGGGACAGCGGTAGTATTACATTACTTTATTATACTATATATTTATAAAATATTAATTTACCAAATCCGCGTGTAAAAGATCAAGCAAGAAGTTTACCACCAGACGGAGGGAATACTAAACAATTAACTCAAAGCCAGCCACACCACATATGTGTACATTGATAAAGATTCTTGAATTAATAGCAAGGAAGAAATCATGTATGCAGGCAAGTTCACAGCAAGAACATGGTAGCCAATCTCTCTCTCCCTATATACATATACATATATATATATATGTATCTATGTATAGTAAAGGTTAGTAAAAGTTTTATGAAATGCATACTTGTAGATGTACCTCTGCTTGAACTTGAAAATGAGAGAAGAGACTACACTACACTACCCTCTGCTGATTCATGGATGGTCCAGACTCTACTCAAAGCCTGCAAATCCAACACACCAAAGACATTTAAGGAATATCTTAGTTTACGGGTTGAAAAAGGCTAAGTTAGCGAAATCCACGAGAAAATCACGGTGCAAATCCATTACATAAATACCAAATCGCCTAATCTACCTACACCTTTATACTACAACAATAATGTTGTTCTTCGACACCCTAAATACTCCTCCCCTTATGCAAAGTCTTCTAAATTTGTGCATAGTCTATTATTTAAACAAATAATGACTACTTATTTTTTTTACTTATCATATTATTATTATTATTTTTTTTAAGTTCTTAATAAATTTCTCATAATACACTTTATATTTATGTTGTTTTTATATTAACATATCGTTGTTATTTAATATCTGTGTCCAATAAATGGAATAAACATCATAAACAACCCGGACTGAGGGAATAATGAATAATATTGAGTAAAACTTGTAAAAAACATTCATTTTTTATTTTTATTTTTCTAGGGTGTTTGGAAAGAAATTGATAGAGCATACCTTCCTTCTATGGAGTGGTTTGACTCAATTGACGAGCATATTTTAGGTTTCGGTATATCACAACCTAATCGATGTTGTGGAAGCCCGGAAGAAGTGAAGTGATGAAACCAAAGACAATCATCTGGATCTCTTTCGCAATTCTCCACCAGCCATTGATAGCCTCGACTTGACCCGGTTCCGCAGCATGGTCATTTTCAACGGCCCTGTTCTCATTGTTGATTTGGTGATTATTGTTCTCACCGGCAGGTTGATCATCTGTGGTACCAAAATTTGTGATTTTAAAACTAATGCAATAGTAGAACCACATCTCATGATATCAAAGGATTTTTCAAGATTATTCACTATTTAAGTAATTTTTTTCTCAAAAAGATCAGATCAAACACATTTCTTATTTTTTATATTATGCTTGGTATCAATACTTGTTGATATCACATTAAACACCTATTCAAACTCAAAACTTTACTATTAAAAAATCCAAACCTTCAAACAAACACACCCAAAGGTTTTAGAAATGTAGCATACAGTTCTACGGTATTTGTGTTAAATATTTTGTGGATTAATAAAAACATGATGTAATGCATAAGGTGGGACATATTGATAATATACCTACTTACTACTAACTAATATCGTCCCAGGAAATCAATTTACTCTTAAGAAGGTCGAAGACACACAATGCAGAGGTCTTTGATCAGTGTTCTTTTTGTCAAAAAAGAAAACACATTTCCAAATAAAATTAATATATTATACACATTTATTATTTTTATATAACTTACACAATTCCTTATACCTCACATAAAAAATATCTCTTCAAACTATTTCATAAAACAAACACACACAAATCAATGTCGTAGATAAGATCCCGCGCTTGTGAAATGTTAACAAGCTTAATGTTGGATTCACTAAGGCTCTTTTCTTTCTGACTTTTTGTTTTTCAGTTTCTTTAATGGGCATTTTGGCAATTCTCTATAATAATATACTATGTATCTCATAAACTATCACACAAAACCAATATTTAAACACATAACAAAAACACAATGTTTATAAATATATATATATATACTAAGATTTTTTCTTTCTTCAATTTCTATACTATGCACCCCTCCCGATTTCCTATAAGTTTTTGAGATTTTTAAGTGACTTGTCACATAACTATTCTTTTAATATATATTTTATTTGTCATCTAATTTTATTCTCACTCTACTTTTTATGTTGTCGTAAAGAAAATGTTTTTATTTTTTTAGTAAGAAATCATATTACTCTTTTTATACTTATTTACTATAAAACTCAAAAAAGTAACAAAAAGTACATACCCATTTAAGTAATAGGTTGCATTACTTCAAATACACATTCGACTATGCATACCTGCAACACCCATGTTTTCATTTTCATTTCCTTGTCCCCCAGCAGCTGCTAAATTGTCTGCCCGCGGAACTGGCCTGGGTCGTTGGGGAGGTGCAGCTGCCCTTTGCATTCCCTGTGAAAGCCACCGAACAATGGGTGCAAGGGCTCCAGTTTGGTATCTGAATCGAACATTAGGTATAAAGTACAGACTCGCAAAATTATGAGCCAACGCATTAAGTACACAATGAAAAAGGACAAAAAGAAAGCACTCTAATACTTACAGGTAAATCAGCGAAGCGAAAAATATTAGGACCACGAGCCTTAATCTGGATCCATCTTGGTTAAACAAGAAAATAACGGCTGCCAGCTTTAAGATGAGCAGCAAATCAAGCTGGATAGCAATTTGAAATCTTCGAACCACCACTTGTCTTTGAGGACCACCTTGTTGTTGCTGTTGCAGCTGCTCGCCAGCCGGTGCCTGCTCAGTGCCGACTGATCTGGTCTCTGAGGAACTCCGTTCGCTGATGTTAAGAAAGTGGATGATGCAAGAAGGAGACAAAGAAAGTGAGGAATCTTGTAATTTAAATATCAATTTAAAAAATAGGCAGACAAATTCAGTAAATCAAAGAACAAACAGACGGGGTGTCTTTGGTTGGGGGTTTAGGAAAATTTTTCACTATTCCCTACTTTTTTATTTCCACCTAAAACTATCAAATCAAATTGGTATTTTTTATTTTTTAAATTATGATAGAAACTCAATTTTACATTCAAAATATGATATTAATATCTATTTATTACACATGAAAAACTGGTTTAATTCAAAATTTTTACTATTTAAAACCCAAAATCCCAACCAAACATCCAACTAACAATCGATGAAATTTATTTTCACTTCTGCAAATGCAAAGTCCACTTAATAAGAAACAGAACGAATATAAGAAATAAACGACTGGTAAAGGTAAGAATGAGCTCCAATTTAACGGATCTGTCTATTTTAAAAGACACTTATTAACCTAAAATCAGGGCAAGATAATTCATGCCATTACTTAATTTAAGTAACACCACATAATCCTAAATCTGTGCTAATGATGTAAGACTTACGTAGGTACATTGTACGTAAAAGGGATAAGAGCATTGGAAGGAAGCCAAGGCATAGGTTGCGTATACGAATGAACTGGAACAGCATATAAACCAGGCCCACGGTTAACCAGCTCCTGGTCTTGTGGAGAAGGAAACAATCCAGGGTACATGAAAGTTGGAATGTTTCCATTCATCGCTTTTGAGACACCATGGGGTGGAACCTAAATAAGAAATACAAATGCTTGTGTTAGAATACATACAATCACATCGATAATTTGTACAAGAATTATTGTTATTCGTCTTCTTGGCAAAAGATTATAATTTTTTCACAGCATTTAACCATTCATTCCATTCACATCAGGCAAACAATGGTTACAACATATCAACTGACAAAAATAACCCGATTCATTTTGTTGTGTTTTCAGAATCCTATTTTCACCAGACATCTATAATATTTTATTTTTTCCCTAAAAAACATCACATTATACATTAATTTTCCATTTGATATATTAAATAAACAATTTATATTCATTCAAAACAATACATCAAACACTTATTTATATATATCACAGCAAATAATTTTTAATTCAGATTTTTTACTAATCTAAAAAAAAACACAACCAAATCTTTCCTTCCTTAGATATAATAACTATAGTAATTTCAGACTTCCAGCAGCCCATCAACAATCAAAATCACTATTATACAAGCGAAAGGAGATGTTGGAATACAAAAATCCATTTTCATGAACAGTTCAACCCACAAACAGGGGAATTGTGTTTTTTCCTTTATAAGAGATAGTGATGCCATTTTCTTCCCCAAATCAAAATGGTAATATCAACAAACGATTCACAGCCACACTGATATCATAACATAAGACTACATCAACACGAAAAAATCAATAAACTTACAACCAAAAGAGATCAAATCAAAACAGACCTAAACTACTCATAGCTCACACTCGTTACTCATACAATACAATAACGATCAAAAACCTAACAACAAATAAGCAGAAATGGACACAAATCAGTACGAATTATCAAACCAACACCATCAGAAACAATACCTTGCACATCCTCTCACGCACAAAGATCGAAATACTCAGAAATCGAGTTAAACGCATTCCTCAGCCATAAATTCAATTGGCAAACATAGAAATTTTTAAAAAAAACAAAAAACAAAAAAAAAAAACATCACCTTCGATTCCACATCCGGCGAGTCCAGAGGAGGAGATTGATTGGAAGATGATGTGGAAGTCTGAGCTCCAGATTCCTCCGCCATTGCAAAATTTCACTCAAGGATCCACAGATCGATGCTTTCGATAGTTATCGGGAATTATCTTTAAATCGTTCCGAGTGAAATCGCGTATTAAAGTTCCGTTTTTATCAGCTATACGTGGTGTTGCGTGCTACATCCAATAATATTATGCCACGTCGCAACCTGTCACCGGGGCAGGCCGAGTAAGAAGGTACAATTTATTTAAGGAGAGGTACAATACCTTGGAAAGGGAGGCATATTTCGTGATTTTTTATTTTTATAAATCTTATTTATTTTTTTCAGTAAAATAAATAGATAAAATATATATATATATACTGTTCTTGTCATCGTACCATCAATATTCCATGTGGAATGTTGAAAATACTTTTAGGGTGTGTTTGTTTGGTGGTTTGGATTTTGGATTGGGATTTGAATAGTAAAAATTTTGAATTTGAATAGTTGTATGATGTGATATAAATAGGGTTTGATGTGATGTTTTGAATGTAAAATTGATTTTTAGTATAATATAAAAAATGAAAAATAGGTGTTTGATTTGATGTTTTTGGGGGAAAAAAATTAGATGAACTGTGAAAATCCTCCAAAATCCTTCAAACAAACACACCCTTATAGAATTTCTTTACTGAAGATGATCTTATAGATTTGATATGATTTTTTATAAATATATCTATATATTTAATTGAGTCTAAATAAAAAGAAATTGAATAGAATTAAATATATATATATACATACTCACACACTCTCTTATTTCTTCTATTTAGCTGTTTTAGCATGTCTTAATTTAATTTATTTAAAATTATATTTTCTTATATAAAACTCAATCACTATTTTTATTTTTAAAATATCACGACAATGGATTTATTTGATTATAATTTCAAACACAAATCACTACTATTCACCTTCTGCACTTTTCAATCTAAATATATTGCTCTCTTTATTTCAAATAAAAAAAAAAAAAATATTCAATTTTTGTAATAAATTAAAAAATAATAGTATCTAGTGTGTAATTTTTTAAAAAAAATATATAAAAGAAATACTGAAGTCCAACAAATGATATTTTAAATTACTAAAAAAGTAAACGATTATATTAAGAGTGGACGGACGAAATATATATTTTATTAAAAAATTGATAAAATTATATTAATTTGTGTTTTAGCAACCTCAGTTTCCTGAGCATCAAGTCTTGCAAGAACAGTACCTGAATCCAGATAAGTTACATACGATGATAAGTTATATCCCGTTGCATCCGTTGAACCAAACAGACCCTTCAGGGGAATCTTGGGTAATTGCAACGCGACCCCTCGGTTTCAAAATCATTGCACCTGAAATTATGTTGATAGGTGATATTATAACTCTGTTTCCACAGATAATTATTTCAATTCAAAAATTCGAATACTCAAACAAACACACCTTAAAATTTCCAAAACTTCCATCTAAACGAAGTAAAAAAGAAGATCATTAAATTAAGGTATACTGAAGGGAGCATGTGTAATACCGCAAACATTTAAATTTTACAGAGCGAGCAAACTAAATGATAATGTAAAGACTCAATTATTTTACATGTTTAATGACATTCATATAGAGTGCGGCTATTTATGGTTTTTATTCTAATTTCCGCACTATGCAGTCGATCCGAATATTCATTACATCAAATAATTATTTTTCATGTAAAATATCACATTAAAATATATATATATATTTCATTTAAAAACACATCTAAACGGACGACCTTATAAATGACATGACATACCAAATATGACTACAAACTACCGACAATATGTAGATGCACAATTGTAGTGCCGCTAATAAATAAGATAAATCTAGTGCTAGGAAGATACAACTGCATAATTATATTCAATGGACCGAGAAAAAAAATGTTGCATTTGGCGAGATAGAAAAAACTGAAAAGGTGATTAAACTTTACCTGATCGCTTGGTACTTTGAGTCGAGATGTGAGTGCCCTGTGAGGCTTTGGAGCTGAAGAAACATGAATCAAAAATTCGATCATTAAATCGGGAGTAAAAATATGTTACCAATACAGCTTAATGAATTTCAGCAACCAAATGGAACTCATAATAATTAGTAAACGGTAGTACAAAAAGATCGGTCAGAATTTGAAATAAAGAAGAAAAAAAGAGCCACAAAAATTATGTGCTTACTTAAGTTTTCAAACATGTTTTCACACTCCACATCAACTGCTCATTTTTTTTTAAAAAAAAATATTCCAGTTGATACTTTTTTAGCGCATCCTCTATATAAAATATCTCATCAAATATTTATTTCTATTCAACTTTCTACTATTCTCAACCCAATCCAGAATTCCAAGACTCTTTCAAAACAGATCTAAATGCATGAAAGAATTGAAGTGGAAACATGTTACTCGATGCACAGACACTGCAAGCAAAATGGGGTTTCTCCTCTCGTGATTATACGAGCTTTTGCAAGAAAATAAAATACTTAAAGAATTATCGTTATCTATTTTTAAAACTAGATCAGGTTGAGCAATGCGCAGACTTTGAATATTTTAAATTGGATCTCGTCGGAGAACTTTTCGATTCATGTTTATTAAAAAGTCTCGGAGATAATAAAACACAAAGCTTTTAGCAGGTATTTTTTGGCATTACAAACTACTAAGATTATGCTCACCATTGGGGTTCCCTTGCTCATAGAAGCTTCGTAGAAGATTGATTGCTTCGGATGCCATTAATCCACCCATGCACTTGAATTCCTTCCTTTCTGAAGCTCCACCGCTGTAAATATGAAAAGAAAACCCAATTTACGACCTATATGAAAGAGATGCAATTTACAACAAATATTGAATTGCAGAGCTTTTGGTGTGAACGACTAACTGTAAATGTAAAAAGAGCCCAATTTACGACCTATATAAAAGAGAAGCAATTTACAGCAAATATTGAATTGCAGAGCTTTTGGTGTGGACAACTAAAATACTGAGCAGCATTAACGCTACTGCAATAAAAGTAGTATATAGTGTATATCGAACACTTTATTGTACATCACATTATTCTTGTTAATCTAAATTTATTGATTTCAAAGCAAGAAATATAATTGTCTGATTAAAACATACTATTAGAGTTAAAAAGAGAAAAAGGGCATTTATTAGCTAACATTATGCAAACGAGGGGTGCCATTTTTTCATACCTCAAAAGACCAACAGAAATTACTGGATTTAAACCACAAGTGTGGGGAAAAGTTAGTTTTAGACTTTTACATATTTTTCTTAGATAAATTTAAAGGTGGTCATTAGTTACAGAAAACATGTTGATTAAGTAAAATATTTTTCAATATTGAGTTTATTTCAGATTAAATACCACCCGGTATAGGTTGAGATAAGATCACTAATATCAATCCGTGCTATTAACAGGTCGGGTTTGAGTTGACAAATTCATAGCACACACAATTTTGACTGATCAAACCAACCTTCCATGACTTGATTGCCACCCTCAATGCCAATCAAATGTAGCTACCGTCAAGAGGTGAATTTTGATGTAATTATAAAATCTAGAACTGAGATTTAAAAATCTAAAGACTGAAACAACAAAAGAAGTGAAAAAGCATGCATAGTAACAGCACAAGCTTCTCCTCTTGATGACTTGTGGGCTTCTCTTTGTTTGTAAGTATAGGAAAGTGCGTAAAATGGTTTCAGTCTTCTATGCATATTTCAACTAATATTACCCAACGAAAAAGTGAAAAACATATATCATCGTGACATTTTTTTTTCATTTGTTGAGAATGCATAAAACAATTTTATAATTACTTCGTATCCTCATAAAGTATGTTCAAGTTTCAAACATTTCACATGGAAGAAAGTTTTCTAATTTATCCACTAAAAAGAATCCATGAAGTTGGTTTTTTCATTATTATTATTTTATTAATTACTCGTAAAGAAAAATACGGAAACGCATTAGCTCAGGATCAAACCTGGCAAGCTTCTCCAGGCTATTTGTGTGCAACGACAATATTGATCCACAACCTCCAAACTTATCATTCCCACAGCCATAATATACTTCTTTTATTCCTGACAGAGAATTAATAAAACAGCACTCAAAGTTATGATACTAACTAAAATTTTGAAAGAATATGCATATAAATTGATACACCATACCAATAATTGACAAAGCTGCGGCGCACATTATACACGGTTCACATGTAACATAAAGTGTGCATTTTGCAAATTTCAGTGCTACTTCTTCCTTTGTAATTCCATTTTCCTGCCACTTCTCAAGGAGATTGTCAATTGCTTCCATCTCAGCATGTCGAGTAGCCTGGAGACCATAAATATTTTAAATAAGTATCAGCGAAAAATGCAGAATGCTTATGTGAATCAATCTGAAATGGTTTTTCATAAGTTAATCCAAAGTCAAATATATTCAAAGTTTGATCTTAAATTTAGACATAAATTCATTTAAGTCCTACCCTCTACCGTATCTTTCTTGCAGGATGCTATGATAGCAGGTTGAAATCGTTTAAATATTTTACAAAAAGCAAAGAGTATACTGTGATTATCCGACAGTTGAAAGCCATCATGACAATTAGCTAATTTACACAGGCACATGTACCGGCATCAGATACAAATACAATTACATACCCCACACCCGTGCTTCATGTCATATTGCATAACATGGCAATAAGCACATGGAAAACTGATTTATTCCAATCCAAGAAACAAAATAAGAAAGTGTAAGAAGGGAATCAAACATCAATAAATTGGGGAAGAAAAGCATACATTTCTGGTCTCGTTAGTCCTATTTCTTCCCGAGGAAATGACCATTTGGTCCTTGACAATTACACAACTGGTCAAATATATTAAAACAGAAGCTGATGAGAACATTGTAAGAATAATTCTACTTTCAAAATTAAGATTTTGTTAACAAATTTTAACATAAAATTTAGGAGAATTGCTTTAAACAATCTCGTTAGTCCTATGGCATTATCATTTCAATAATTGAATAACATATTAAACATATAATCGGATAGGTAGATTAGAAACTTACCCGACTGGCACTTCAAGGCTACCTAATGCAAGATTTGCCTGGCAAAAGGAAAGCAAGAAAAACTATATCATAAAAACTAGTCTTGTCTCAAACAATATTAATATTCACATCTCAAAACGTTAACAAAAATCACAAATCAAAATCCATTATCCATTAACTATGGTATACTACAAAACCTAAGAACAAATCAACTTTTATTAGATAGAAATATGAACATCCAAAGAGAAGAAAAATCGAAAGATCAATCAAGCACCTGTTCTAGCGCGAGCTTCATAAAAGAAAACCTTCCTTCTTCACTCAGACTATCCTCACCATATGACACCATCTCTATTCAAAAACAATTGAATTGAAAATTTATAAACAGAAACACAATAGACATGGCAAAAGCTAAAATCTGTAAAGTTTCCCCAAATGCATCATCATTAACATCACAAAAAATACCCTCCCTCGAATAACTCTCCCGGAATCACCACGATGAAAAATCGAACTCAGTAACTTAAATCAAACTATAAGCAAAATCCAGTTTGTACTATCAGTCAATCCGTGCCAAATTCGACTCAAACTTCCACCCAAACAATTAACTACTGAACGCCATTTTATCTCTATCAATAGAAGCTCTTTCTAGGAGCTGTTTGCTCGATTATTCACTACCATATAAATGCAATTCCTCATCACTCTGTGTATATACATATACATGCATACATACATATATTTATATATATAGACAGATGTTAGGACAGTAATAACTGACATTGCGAAATTAAACTACAGTCTCAATTAAACTAAACTAATAAAAACATTTCGTCGAACATGTTGCGTGCATAAGAATTATTAGGAACCTAATTAAAACACATCAGAAGATCAGCTAAAACGATACAGTTATTTGAACTAAGAGAATCTCCGAAAGGCAGAAAATACCAAACTGTACGACAATCAAAGCTTATACTGCAACCTCCACCCAGCATTTAAACAGACGATGACACATTATAAACATTGAATCGAAAATGCCACTTCTCTCGCATTTAAATCTCCAGGAAATTTGACTTTTATTACACCTCCAAATTACCAATTTCACGATCAAATTTCCATTGCAGTAAGAAAATCAAAGAAATCAGACATGAAAAATAAATAAATAAATTCGAATCATAAAGCACATGAATTCAGAAGCATATTCACATGAGAAGGAAATTTCGATTCAGCACCAAGTGAATAGAAGCAGAGTGAGTTGCAGTACACAGAATCTCAGAGGATTTGAGAGAAGCCAGGCTCTCCTCCTCTTTTTCTCTCTGCAACTACGCTCACGGCGAAGATGGAGCTACTCGTACTCCAACGCAACGTGTGATCTTCAGACCAACTAAGCAGAAAATTTCAAGTAACTTCTTCTATTTCTAATAAAATACAAAATGACCCTGTAAGTCTGTAACTTTGAATTGTATTATTATTATTATTATTATTATTATTTTATTTTTCTTTTTTTGTGGATTTTATAATATATTAAATGTAATATAAAAAATAAATATTGAATTTAATATCTTTTTAAAAAAATAAATACTAGTAAAATTAAAATTAAAAAAATTTACAATCGAATAAAACTTTTAAATTAAAAAATAAAATAATTGCTAAATAAAGAAACAATTTACACTGATCTAGTTAAACGGGCAAATGCAAATGTACTATAAAAGCATAATAATAAAATTCTAAAAAAAAAAACATACAATGATACTAACATACGATAAAAAAATCAATTCAAAAATATAAAACAATAATAATAACGAGAAAAAATATATATATATAAAGAAAAGAAGAAAAAGAGTATTCACAATAGATAAGAAATCCCACAAAGAATACATACATACATACATACATACCACATACACAAATCTCAAACCATTTTAAAGCATTGATTCCCCAAAGGGCAAAAATCTTCAACACTTTCAATTCTCTCCCACAAGAAACTAAAAAACCAAAAATAAAATAAAAAATTACACATCTAAAAACAAAACCCAAAAATAAAATAATAAAAATAAAAAAAATAAAATAAAATAAGAGATAGTATATATATCTTCATTTTCACCTTAACCAAACAACACTCATAAAATAATTCACACCCCAAAACTATACACATTGTAGTCTTTTTCCTTCACCAGAATCGATCGATCTCCAGCCGGGCCGGGCCGGGCTATCGACCTAAACAGGTATGACGTCGGCCTTCGAGGTATCTTCGCATCGTAAAACGATGCCCTCGAGGCTTGCGGGGAGTATACATTTCGACCACTGGCACCCGGTCGAGAACGGCTCGGTCGGCGGGACGATCATGAGGACGTTTTCATTGCGCTGCACGACACCCATGACGCTAACGGTGCTGCCTTCTTTGATGTACCTGAAAACGGAACGGAAACAATGACGGGGGTCAAGGTTTCGAAGGAAATCGGGAAATGAATGGAAATGTCGATAATCGATCAAAGAATCGATCAATCTTTACCCTTCTTTGAGGCGCATTATGCGGTCGTCGCTCGAGAGGTTGCGTTCCCCGAGCCATCGGATGAACTCGGGGGCCATGTCCTTGTTCGACGGATTGACGTCGACGACGACGGATTCGTCGACGTAAGGAGTCACCTTTGCGCCGTACCCGGTCTTGACGAGCGCCCTTAGCCCCGACTGGAAATCAGAAATGTAGAAGTCGACGACGTGCCTCTGCAGCCATTAACGAAAATAAATAAATGATTTACGCGAGAACATAATCGTGAAATAAATTTCATTTGATTCGACAAAAATGGAATAAAGTTCAGTAAGGTCAACAAAACATAAACATTTGAATCTCAAGAAAGTTCCGGAAGTCAAGCAATTAATCGAAATCCTATTTTCACATCTCTTTCTCTAAAACTAAAATGCAACATCGTGTGAGAATTTTCCGAAGTATCTAACAGAAAACACGACAATAATGCGAGCAAAAAGATCTGAGCCATGTTCGATCTGCTATAGGAGTAAAAAGGAAATTTAAAAACCTGATACAATATAAATGTCAAGCTGTCACACAGACGAGTCCTGCACATTTCCGGAGTCATTACGAGTTTCAAAAACGAAATTTCTTAGGAAAATCGTAAGCTACGGAATAATTAAAAAAATTTTATCACCTCGACAGTGCGAAGGCCCCAAGTAAAGCGGCGGTGAGTAGGGTTTGCGGCTTTTGAATCCCATCCCCGGTACTCGTACAAACTTGTGGAGGTATAAACACACCGAGGAACTTTTTGGTAAGAAGATTCGAGAGGTACATTTCCGCAGGTGACAACCTTAAAAGTCAAAACAAACAAACTCGATATGATAATGCGGCATAAATCAAAATCATTATAAAAGAAACAAAAAATTTCAATTGACTGCAATTAGAGCGCTTAAACGAGCCGAGCAAGCTCAAGTATCGGTTATTCGAGCTCGACTCGAACTTGTTAACAGTACAGACTCGGTTAGGCTTGTTAAAAATTTGAACTAAAATAGTGGATCGAGCTCAGCTCATTAAGCTCAAATTCAAGCTCGAGCTCAGCTCATAACGCTCGAATTCGAGTTCGGTTTGAATTTTATATATATTCTATATAATTTTTTAATATATAAATTAAATATATTTAATTTTATTCATAATTTTTATAATAAAATATTCAAATTTTAATAATAGATGTAAATTTTGATATAAAAGTATATATATTATATTAATATGTAACTCAATTGAGCTAGTCGCGAGCGCGGGTTCGAGCTCGGCTCATTTATAAAAATAATAATTTTTGAGCTCGAGCTCGGCTAACGAGTCGAGTTGAGCTTAGCTCGGGAGCTATTCAATTCGTTTAACAACTAGAATCCATAAACTACTCCTAATCTCAAATATAGCCACAATCTTGCAGAAGATACGAATAAGTTAAACCCGATAAGAAACATTAAACATACCCCCGAAACTTTGACGAATTGGCCATCTTTCGCATATCGTAATTCGGCGTCTTGATAACTAGATATAAAGCCAGTAATAGCTCTTCTTCCCCAGCAAGTATTCCAAACAAAAGCAGTAGCGACAGCAGCAAAGAGTATAACAACGACAATCAGCAGAATAGGGTTTCGAACAGCTCCAAGAATGAAACCGCCGGCAATAAATCCCATGACGAACAGAAGGATAATGGCCCAGAGAATTGCCTTAGGGAAACTCTTGCGGAACGAGTATTCGTCATTCTGGCTAAGGTGAGTAACAGCCTGGTTATTAACAATAGAAGCATTGTGCGTTTTCATCGAACCCATCGATTCCAACGGCCCAGATGCCTTCCGAGGAGCCCCGGACGAATTCAACGGTCCAGATGTAATAGGTCCGGATGTAATCAGGCCGGTAGTCGGGAGAACGGGAGGAATAGGGCCAGAATTCTGGCGCGATACAGCAGTGCCGCTTCCCTGAGGACCGGAAGACTTTTTCAGTGGTTCGCCATGTTTATTAAGAGGGCCGGAGTTCGTCTTCTTCATCGAAGCTGAACCAGAGACACCGCCAGCTGAACCCGAGACACGGCTCCCGGTATTTAATTGGCCTGAGTGAGATGTCGCACCGCCAAAAGAACCCGACCGGGTTGGGGCATTGCTTATCGGACCCGATTTCCGAGATCTTGAGCTATCTGCATGAATATCGAACATTTTACCGAGTTCTCCAGACTTCTTGATATCGCCACCAGTATAAGGAACAGCGACTGAACTCATTGTCGGAGTTTTCTCCTTAGGCTGCTCAGGTCGGCCCGATACGTACAAACCATTACTTAATTGATGAGAAGGGAATCTTGACCCCATCTTAATTAATTCACCAAATATGCTAAAAGACAACCCCAACTTATCAATGGACAAACAAACAAAGGTGCTCGAAGTTGAATCTAGCACGAAAACGTCCGCAAAATGCTGCACCTACAAGAGAACGGAATCGACCATTATAAAGCGCACACGATTACATACGTGTCCCTCTAGCAAATGAATCTTGAATCTAAGAACATTCATTTTCGGAAACAATAAAGCATATAAAACCTACGACACTCTGTAACAGACACCGGCCATCTGTCGCCGCCAAACTATACCTCAGTTTGTTACCAATTTATACTTCGGAACTACCCCGCAAAACGGGCATTAATTGCTCAACTCTATAATTGTCACATGAATAACCAGAAAAATCAAAGAAAGTAAATGCTAGGCCTCAGTTCTAAAGATTCAAACCCTAAACCCTAAAAGGCCACCGATGCATAATTGAACATGAACATTTGGAGTTCTATACACCATTCTTGTAATCAACAGAACTCTCAACTAAAGATCAATTCTCAAGCTTATGACAACGAAATTCAGCAGACTATCGATTTCACAATCTGAATTGAAAGACACATAGCATAGATCTTAAACGAAGACAGTTTTATCTAGACACCAGATCTGAAAACACTTCAATCTCCAATCACAAATAGAGCGACTAAATCCCTAACAAATTGAAGGAAAATTTGCATCGATGATGAAGAATGATGAGAATCCACTACACACTTCATGCGTTCATACGTAATTCAACCCTAACATTACCGATTACACTAAATAACTTCACAGATCGGAGTTCAAACCAAAAATTTTGAAAATTACAAAATCGCTAATCCACCAAAACGTAGAAGAACAAAACAGAAATCACAATTTATCATACGCGTCGCGAAAAAATAAAGATCTCCTTACACTTCTGGACAAAAACCCCCCAAAATCAACCCCACCGAATACCAAACCAACAAACTACAAAAACTCCAATCCAAACCATAAAAAACCACAAATCCACCCTACGAATCAATTCATCGAACCCACATTTACATTTCGGTCCAATATCCAGCAAAATAAACGAGATCAAATCAGCGGAACTCGGAGCAGCACGGCAGCCCCCACAACCACAGAAAAACAGCAGAAATGTGAAAGGAGCAGGCAAGCTAGTGTACCTGGAGAACTTAGCGTCGAGGAGATGGAGGCGCGGCGGGCATCGGAGATCGGAGACTGACATGGATGGCGTGATTCGTTCGGTTGGAAAGCGAATTGAGGAGAAAGAAAAGAGAGTGAAACTGAAAAGACACACTTCACCCTCCTCTCTGCTTTCTGCTGTTCCTCTCAGTTTTCTACTGCTGGCGGTGTGTTGAAATGACCGTTTTACCCCTCCGGATCGCTTCTATTCATGTTTATACCATGTTACGACGTGAAATAACCATTTTACCCCTCCGGATCGCTTCTATTCGCATTTTTACCATGTTACGAAAATATTAAATTAAATGTTTATCTTTTTTATTACTCTCTCTCTTCCACAAGAAGATTGTCATTAGCTTTTTGGTTACTGTATTTAACTTAAAAATATCTTTATATTTAAATAATTTATTAAATAATTTTATATTTTCTTTGTTCCAGAACTATAGTTTAGGTTGCGTTTGATACGGGAGTTTTTATGGAAATAAGGGTAAAAGATTTTTTTACCCTTGTGAGTATATTAGTGTAAAAAGTAGTGGCAATTGAGTAATATTAATGAAAAAAATAAGGGTAATTTTATAGTGATATGGTTATTTATGGAAATGAGATTATTGTTTTGGGACTGAATAATAAACAAGACTATTATATTGGGACGGAGGAAGTATATGATGTGTTTGTTTATGGGTTTTGGAATTGAATTTAAAGTCGAACATTAAAATTTATATTGAAATATATTAATATATGATATTTTTAATGTAAAAATAATTTTTAATCTAATATAAAAAAATTAAAATAATTGATTTAATTTAATATTTTTTTAAGAAAAATATCTCATCAATAATAATAATAATTTGTTAAAAAAATAGAAACAAACACATACTTAAGGCATCTATAAAAAGTCATACTAAAAAGGAATAAATAAAAATAAATAAATAAAACAAACGCCTCATGAGATTTTTTTTTTTTATTATTGATTTGAAATTGCGGGGTAATTTGAATTTTTTTAAAAATATTATATTTTGATATAATATTTTTATTAAAAATTATTTAGAATATACAACATTAATTTCAATTCAAATTTACAATAGAACAATCTCTATATTTATAAATAAAATAAAATAAAATAAAAAAAGCAAATTTAATTTGGAATAGTAATAATAAGGTCTGCGTCAAATAAAAATAGACCCCATAAAATCTACCATTAATTGACAACTACCAAATTCAATAATAATAATAATAACTATAAAAGCAAATGACATAGACATAATCGCCTTTGTTCTGTTTGAGATTTTTTATGTACATGCTTTGATAATATAATTATCATAATATTTATAAAAATGCATAATTTTATTTCATAAAAATATTTACATATAATTTAATTATTTACATGGCCTTAAATAAGGGTTTATTGATTTTGATTTAAAATTAAAATCGTTATTTGAAGTTTAATTTAAGCAATATTTTGATAAAATAAATAAATAGTGAAAATTAAAACAGAAACACATTTTAATCACCTGAAATTTGAATTGAATATAGGAAATGAAGTTATAATTATTAGGGTTAGTCCCGTAAGTGGAGCCTGTCGCAAAATAGTCCCATAAGTGAAAACTTTTCACTGTTTTAGTCCTCTGGCGTCGGAGACGCCCGCATGGCTCGCCGGAGGTGACGTGTCCACCAGGTGTCCCGCCAGGTCAGCGACACCTGGCGGACACGTTGATTTATTTATTTATTTATTTATTAATTTTTTCTAATTTTTTTTTAAAATTGGACCAAATTAAAAAATTTTAAAAAATACAAATAAAATTTAAAATCAATTAAAAATAAGTTTTGAAAAACTATTAAAAAATGAAAAAAAAATAAAAATCAACTTGTCCGCCAGGTTAGCGACACCTGACGGACACGTCACCTGCGGCGAACCACGCGGGCATCTCCGGCGCCGGATGACTAAAACAACGAAAATGTTTCACTTATGGGACTAGTTTACGTCAAGCTCCACTTACGGGACTAAAATGATAAGGGGATCCAGTTACGGGACTAAAAAAACAGTTTACCCTAAATAACAATGACTTATACAACGTTAGTCCGGCTCTAAGTGTCTCATTTACTTTTTACATATTTTATATCAAAACGTAGTATAAATTAAGAAAAAATTCTTTAATGTTTTATAATACTAATAGAAGGACATTTCTAAAATAATAATAATATAATAATAATAATAAATTATACAAATATAATGATACTTTTAATGTTAAATATAATGATTCATAATGTAAATTAAACTCTTACAAGATTATTATATTAAAATATTATTCAACTTTTAATGTTAAATATAATGATTCATAATGTAAATTGAACTCTTACAAGATTATTATATTAAAATATTATTCAAACAGAAATTTAATATTATTTTATATTGCTGATATGTTTTTTATATGTAATATAAAAATTTATTTCAATTAAAAATACAAAATAAACAAACTCAATATTTTGGACCCTGGACTTCTAAATATGATTGTTGTTCTTGAATTTTTAATTGGTAGCAACAATGATTTAAATACAAATAAAATAATACAAAAATATTAAATATATTTAAATGGAATCACAATTAATTAACTAATTAATTTTGTAATGTTCAAAAGTCATAAGCTGAGTGGACCATATAAATTATTTGAGATAGACACTATAGTCTTTAGTTTGTAGGAACATATACATGTGGGTTTTATATGCATATTAAGATTTGATTGCTTTGAAAGCATATTAATAATAAAAATAAATATTTGATATAATTAGTTTGTTGTTAAAAAAAAAAAAAATTAAAATCAAAATTAATACTCCATCCGTCCCAATACAATAGTCTTGTTTACCATTTTTGTACGTCCTAAAATAATAGTCTCATTTCCATAAATAATCATATCACCGTAAAACTCTCCATACCTTTTTTTTTTTATTATTATTACACAATTGTCACTACTTTTTACACTAATATACTTACAAGGGCAAAAAAATCATTTACTTTTACTTTTTACAAATTACCAATATAATATTAATATTTCTTAAATCTCGTGTCCAACACAATAAGACTATACTTTTGGAACGGATGGAATATTACTCACATGATTTTTAATAAAATATACTTATTTTATCCCTACTACGATGTTCATTATAGACACGAAAATTAATGAAAAATATCATTAATAAATAATTAAAAATATATTAATAAAATTAATTATCATATAATATAAATATTTATAGATTAAAATTAAGATAAATAATTAATCTAGTCAAAATTAAAAAATACTTTCTATGTCCAAGAGTAAATTTCTCATTTACTTTTTATATATTAATCTTTGAATATTAATTTTTATCTCAAAATATAGTACAAATTAATGAAAAATAACAAAAGTATTTATATTAATGTATTAATACTAATATAATGACATTTGTACAAAAAATTATACAAACATAAGAATATTTTTAATATTAAAAATAATGACGTCAAATGTAAATGAGAAGTTTAGTCTTGAACGAGGGTAATATCAAAATAAGATTAAAATATATAATTATTTTTCAAAAAAGAAAAGAGATAAAATAAGTGGGACATATAAAAATGAAAAAATGGACACGGTAAGTGAGACGGAGAGAGTACTAATTTTTATTACAAAATATCATATCAAAATACTATATAAGCAAAAATTTAAATCAACATTTCATTTCAAATTAATTTCAACTGCAACCAAACAAATTCATACTCCCTCCGTACACACATAAAGTAAACAATTATTTTTGATGCGGTGTTTAAAAAACAATAGTATTTTAATTATAGTGAGTAGTTAAAAGTAGCGTAATGACATTTTTGCCTTTACTTTTTGATGTAAAAGTAATGATGTGACGTAAAGTAGAAGTATTTGTGAAAAAAGTGAGGTATTTAATGAAATATTTACTTTGTAATTGGACGTCCGAAAATAAAAATATATATATTTTATAGCTGGACGGATGGAGTATTATATTGTGTAACTAAAGAAAATTTCATGTTGTTATAGTATTCCATTCGTCCATGCAAAGATGAGCCATTTTGATAGGGATACGGTATTTTAAATAGTGTAAATTATTAATAATAAGTTATGATATTATTTTATTATTTTTTATATGAGTAGTGTTGTTGGTGCTTTAAATATTTTTATGATTATATCTCAATAAAAAATATGTAATATATATTATTTTGTAAATAATAAAATTTTATATAATACAAATAAATAAAAGTATATATTTATTTATAATTAACTTAAAACTAATTTTTATAAAAAATGAGAAGTTTTAAATATATATAAAAATATTTATTTATTGAGAAGAGATATATAAATGTAATTAAATTGATTTATTTTTTTTAAATATGTTTAAAATCGAATAAATTTACTAAAAATAGAAAATGATACTCCCTCCGTCCCAATACAATAGTCTTGTTTACTATTTTTGTCCGTCCCAAAACAATAGTCTCATTTTCATAAATAATCATATCACTATAAAACTACCATTACTTTTTCATTTTTACTCTCTCCGTCTCACATACCATATCCACGTTGTCGTTCTGTCCGTCCCACATTTCATATCATTTTCTTTTTTTCGAAAAATGATTACACACTTTAATCTCATTTTAAAAATTTTAATTTATTTTTCTTTTAATTTTAATTAAACTAATTAGTTATACTAATCTTAATTTATGATTATTTATATTATAGAATAATTATTTTTCACTAATATATTTTTAATTATCTACTAATTACATCCCTTCTTCTAAAATACCGTATTTACTTCGATTTTAAAAAAAAAACTAAACACTTCTTCTAAATACCGTATTTACTTCGATTTTTTTAAAAAAAACTAAACAAAATACCAGAAAACAAAGCTAACTAACTTGACCGTTAGTGTAAGATTGTTACATTCTACCTACACTGACGGTAACTCATCAGCCCCCAACACAGTAACATACCTATCATAAATCATTGTTGTGATATAATTAGGTATTAATATAATAATTTTAAATATAAAATTAATTTTTAATATAATATGAAAAAAAATATATGTATTTAATTTGAGAATAAATTAAGAATGTATTAGTGAAAATAATTATTCTATAATATAAATAATTA